GCTAGAATCGGAGTCAGCTGAGCGCTGATCTCTGCTCATGGCCCTGGGTTTCACGCAGGATCACGCGGAGCGCTGCGGTCGGCAACGTCTGATTTATGCCCGCCATGTGCTCGTGATCGGAGCCGCACAGGATTTGGCTCTCCACCCACGACCTCGTACATGCTCCCGCTGCTCTTGAGTGGCGCTCTCGCCATAGTATCCTGCGTAGCCTCGACGCACATCGTCTCTTTACCATACGGCACCTTCCGAGGCGTTCCCCAGGGTAATCTAACTGAATTTCGCAGTGTACCCTTTGCGCAAGCGTGAGCATCTCGATTGGCTTCAAGTTTCTCCACGCTGAACACCCTTCTCAGAGGACGGTTTGAACTTCCGCGTGCACCGCGGCATCTCCACGGCATCCAGAACGCGACGGTTTACGGCGCCTCTTGCCCACAACAAACGTTCAGCGCGTTGCCCGTGGAGTTACCTGGTTCTGACAATGATCCTCAGCTCACGATTTCGGAAGATTGTGCGTCGCGAACATCCTTTTCCTTACTTCTAATATTGATACGTGTTCAGGCTTGACTCTCGACGTGTATCGGCCCATCACAGCGAATCACAAGTCCAAGTTACCGGTCCTTGTGTGGATCTTTGGAGGTGGATTTGAAACAGGAAACACGCGCGACACGGATGTGAAGCCCGTCGTTGAGCGCGCCATCGTCACCGGCCAATCCGTCGTCTCGGTAGTCATGAATTATCGTTTTACCGGTGAGACTCCCGTTGATCTGCATTTTAGCTACTTGACGGCTTCAGCGTTCGGCTTTTTGGCAGGAAAAGAGGTGGCGCGTGCGGGTATCTCGAATCTGGGGTTACGCGACCGTGCGTGATTCATGCCTTGACATGCCGCTCAGTTCATGATTTTTTTTCAGAGATATTCGCTTTGAAGTGGGTCCAGGAGCACGTCGCTGCGTTCGGTGGTGATCCTTCCCGCGTGGTGTTGTACGTCCCTCTTTGGTTTTTATACCCGAATCTAACGAGCCGTCAAGAGGTGGTGTAAGCGCTGGAGCGATCTCGGCGTCGCTGCTGATGCTCGATAACCTCGAGGGCTCGAATAAATTGTTTCACGGGGCTATACTGGAAGCCGGCTCGCCCGGATCCGAGCCTTCCGTCCTTGACGGCCAAGACCAGTATAATTTCCTCGTGTCGGCAAACAACTGCTCGCATGCCCACGACACCCTCGAGTGTCTACGCAACGTCCCGTTCGACGCGTTCATGACAACTGTGAATGAAACACCGGATTTGTTCTCAAACAAGAGTCTCAATACTGCGTGGCGGCCGAGAGTCGACGGAGATGTTATCTTGGCCAATCCGCTGCTCATGCTCCAGCGTGGGCTGTTTAGCAAGGTGGGACATTCAGTCGGAGACCATTCAGATTCTCATCTTGATAGATGCCCTTCTTGACTGGAGACTCGGATGACGAGGGAACGTATGTGGTTTTCAAATCTTCTGATCTCAAGTCTCAAAACGCTCAAGCATATTCACCCTGGCACTCTTGAACATCACGACCAACAGCGAATTTTTGAACTACGTTCACGCAAAGTATGTTATCGAATCAAGATTTGGTGCCCAACTCACTCCATCTAGTTACTTCCCCGCCGCAACAGAAGACCAAATAGCGAAAATGGGGCATCTATATCCCAATGATCCCAAAAAAGTTGAATCGCCTCCCAATATTTTTGCAGAAACTAATCATTTGTTGTAGGGCTCTCCCTTTGGCACAGGCACCAATAACCAGTTAAGCCCTCAATTCAAACGCCTCGCTTCGTTCCAGGGTGATTTGATCTTCGTCGCCCCCCGGAGGTTCTTCCTTGAACACGCGTCTTCGAGGCAGAATACCTGGAGTTGGCGTACGCCTTTACTTTGCTTCCCCTTCCCAGTTGATACTCAAGTAATCGACGTCTAGTGAGCACTGCGTTCAAGAACTCTTCGGAACTGGGCTCGGTGCATACCAGCGACGACGCCATTTTGTTCCCTAAGACGCCTGATAGTGACTGGACCGCTGCCGATGCGCTGAGTGGGTCTTTCGTCCCCTTTTCATTCTCATTCCCGCTCAACGCATCGACAGTCAACTTCATTAATACCCTCAATCCTAACCGCCCCGCCGATGGATCGCACCATTCCGCCTTGGAAGTTCCATGGTCAAAGTGGCATAAGAAGGAGCCGGTGTCGCTGACGTTTAGTGATACCAAGGTGAGCGTTACGGCGGATGATTTCCGGGCTGAGTCGATGGGGTATTTGAATGAGGTGTTGCTTGAGGAGGCGGAAGGAGAAGGCGTGGTTTGTCTAGTAATCGTAGCTTCATCAGTTTAGTTTTGCGCGACGCGACGCGCGTTTGACGGGTGGCGTGATCGCTACTGTCAGCCATCAAAATTCGGATCTCTTCTGTCACCGCTGTCTTCCTCCTGCTTGCTTCCTCCGACTCGAGAGCGCGCCAGACCGAGCTCTGCAACTCCCCACAGCCTGCTCCGAAATTGCTTCCTCATCTAATTTAACTCTTTCCCACACCGCTGCCACGTCGCCGTCCCCCATGTCTCTCGAAATCCGGGCATTCATCTACGGAGGCGACGACACTCGATGCCAAGTCGTTCTGCGCAAGGACATTCCAGAGCAAGCGCAGAACAACTTTGCGATGCTCGACGGGTGGGCGCAGAAGAGCGTCATCGCTATTGGGGTCGACCTGAAGCACACGCAGAGATGGACGTGCGAGGAATGTGGCAAGCCTGCACGGGAGACGTGGTTTGACCCTCGACCGTCGTTGCGTGTGTCTTCGCCCGTCGTCGTACTGCCCATCCATCATCTGTGCGAAGCCGGTGGCGGGGCGTGCCATGCCGCCGTGGAGACCCGTGTGCGTGGGACACCACCTGCCCCCTCCGTGCGCCCCTCGATGCCTGATGGATCGCCTATTCCGTTGGCTGGGAGCTGTGCCAAGTGCCAGCGCGATGAGACGGCTGAGGAGGGCTTCAAGATGAGTCGGTGTAGCAAGTGTAAATTGACGAGATATTGCAGGTATTTCTTTTCTTGGGTCTCGGAGAGTGTCGACTCATCTGGTGACAGTGCGGGATGTCAGAAAGAGGATTGGACTCGGCACAGCAGGGTGCGTCTCTCACCCCCCGTTTTGGTCTCTATTTCAAACAGCTTGCATGCAGACGTGTAAAACGATTCAAGGCGTACAGTGGTTCAACTGGGACGAGCCTGAACCCGAGTCTGAGGATGAAACACTGAAGATGCCGGGCGCATTTGTATGATATGTGTTGCCAGTGAAACCTTTTTACCACCAAGTCCTCGTCAGATGAGCCAGGAACGTTGACGCCCTGAATCATGCTGCACCCATGGCCACCATCTTCCTGAGATTGGAAGCCGTGGAATCACCTTCTGTTCCTTCTTCAGATCTGGAAAGACTCGCACCGTGCTCATCGACCGCGGGACTTAGCTGTGCGTGGATCTGCTAGTACCCAGAAGACGCGAATTGGCACCCACGGCCCTGGTCGGGTGCTGTCCTTCGTCAAGATATCAACAAGATATCTGATGTCAGGTTTCGCTGTTCTTCCTGACTCCTACGAAATTTGAAGAACAAGCGCATCCATTTATGGCCTCATCGATCATCTCCCGCCCCATGATAATCTGGTGGACATTTATGTCTTATAAGATATCCTTTATCGTCCGATGAAACATACACTCCCTTCTTTCCTCACCACAATGATCCCCATGGACGACTACGTAGGCACCTGGCAGGACCTTCTTTACAGCGCTAGTCAAGCGGGCATGGAACTCCTCTTCTACGGTTAGCTTCCACGTTCTTCGCTCGGTATCCAATTTGAATTCCTGGAGCAGGATTCTACCTCCACGTCTTCATCTCGGCGATACACAACCTACTCTACCGTTGCAGCGCAGCGGGGAAAAGCATACTCATCTTGGCGAGCTGTGCGATGTTTTTGGTTGGAACTGTGCAGCTCGCGTTGCAACTTGTCTCGGTTGGGGTGTATATTCGGATTCTTCAGCAGCAGATGGGTGCTGGGGCGGATGGATATAATACCCTTATAGTGCTCAGCCATATCATCCTGGCTTTCAACACGTTGGTACCTATCTTCTGTTCTCTGTGCGCCGGCTGATTCATCTCACAGGCTGGTGGCAGATAGTCTATTTGTGAGTTCCCTTCACTTGAGAGATGGGATCTGCTTAGAGTGCAGACATACCGATGTTACATTCTCTGGGGCCGCCGCAAGGCAGTCATCCTCCTTCCCGTACTGCTCATGTTGTCCACCCTTGGTACGTCTATCCCAAGTCGAACAAAATAGTCCTTGGTCAATTTTCTTTTTCAGCTCTCGGAGTAGCGATTCAATTCCTCCCCGCCCTCTACACGATTAGAATCACGCAGATTGAATTCGTCGTCGTCGCGGTGACGAATGTCCTTCTCACTGTCCTCGCGGGTGTGTATTCCATTACGCCTTATAGTGTCATTTGATCAAGGCGTCCATGCAGCAAGTCGAATATGGTGGATCCGCCGGAAGGGCGGGCCTGAAAGCATCCTGCGTCAGCGGTGTAACAGTGCTTTTGCATTCATGTATGTCGGCACCCTCCCTCTCTCCCACTTTGCTCAATCCTCATCCTTAATTGGAAGCCTGGAATCCGGCGTGCTCTACTGCATCTGGAGCATTTTGCTGGTGTGCACGATATCCATCAAACCGGAGGCGGATTCGATCGTTTTTGCTGTTGTATTGGGGAGCGCAAAGCAGGGCGTGGTTCGTGTTGCATATTCTTTTGTGTTGGGGTTTTGTTGACTTGCGAGGCTGCAGAATATGGTCCCGACGCTTTCTCTTGTGCTAGGGAAGGATGCTGGAGCCCCGGAGCCCAACTTGACGGAGAACCCGGGAAAGGTCGGAAATCGCGCTGGTGTAGACTCGATTGGGGTGTGAATGAACGCTCTTTCCCTTGTGATGGCCGCTTGGGAAATCGCGATTGTCACACGCATGGTGAAACGGTATCATGCTTGCCTTCCATGTGGTAGCAAGAAGTTCATCCATTAGCAAGCGGCAGGGGTTCGACTCCCCTTGCGTGTATCTTCTTCCACGATTTTTTGACTCGCAGACTTCCTTTCCCTACGCCATTTGTGCCCACGTCCCAAGTTGGTTTCCCCACTCCGGGAATCCAGCCTTCTCCTTGTTCCTCGAGTTTCATCTTTCATTCCGCGTCTCGGCGCTGTATGTAATGCATCTACATCTGCATTCAGAATGTCCTCGACAAAACCTAGGCACACATAATCTGCCACAATGATTCAATTGTAGACGAGATCCACCGCCTTCTTTCTCGGGTTTTCTTGACGAAGTTCAATGGGGTTCAACGTCCAACCGTCCAACCGGTTTTGCAACCGTTTCGACGTCGCTCCGGAGACTTTTCTGTTTCTATAGAGCGGCTCACCGACATGGCCATCCTACTAGGCTACCGATTCAATCACGGAAAGTTGTGTGAAAATTGCAGAGTGCGCTGTAACCCGTATGCCGACGTTGGCTGCCAGGACTGTCAATCATTTTTTGATCTTGCCTGTTGCCTTTCTCCGCCGCCGTGGCATTGGTTTCGAGCCTCGCCACTCGGTGTCCCCAGTTGACACACTTATCATTCCCCAATCATGCTGCTCCAACTGCTGTCTCTGCGTTGTCAGAGTGCGTACGTGGATTGAACCACATTCAGTCACTTTTTACGGACGTGCTTGATGGTCCTGCCCTTGACCATCTCTCTCGACTCTCGAGCCTGCGGGAGTTGGGTCTGGACGGGATGATCCCTGCCGACTTCCCTACTCCAGGAAGCCAGCCATTCTTCCCATCGCTTGTGGAGTTCAAAGTCACCGATCCTGATATCAATTCCGCGTCTCACTTCCTCGAAAGGGGTAGCAACATTCCACTGGTCATATTTACTTTGGAATTGCCTCTGACCGACGGCGGCCCTATGTATTCGTCGGCGGACGACATACATCGCCTGCTTACTGCCACGAAGAGTGGGATTGCTCATGGCTCCCTGACTCGGTTCACATTCAGCGATGGGTATGGCTTATTCGACCCTTCCGACGCCCCCATCTATACCGTCCACGCTTCTTCACTCCGCTCCCTTTTCTCTTTCAACAATCTCACCGACGTGGACATTACAACAGCCGTTGGTTTTGGCCTGGATGACGCCACGGTCGTCGACATGGCTCGCTCTTGGCCGCATATCAAAGAGTTGATGGTGCAAACGTACTTCGGTGTCTCCCAGCCTCGAACCACACTCCGCTGCCTGGAGGCCTTCGCTCAATATTGCCCCCGTCTTGTCAAGTTGTCGATCGCGTTCGACGCCACTGTGATTCCGAAATCACAAGGCGACTTCTGCCTCAAAGAGTTGAGGTCGATGCGTCGCCGATTTCAGAAGCAGACCCCGTTGCCCAATTTATCGGGCGTATCTTGCCTCGGCTGAGGCACCTTGGGACGCTGGTTGATGTACTCAATGGGGATGAAGAATGGGAAGCCAGTGTGGTGCCAGAAGTGTTTGGGTACGACATTATCTGGAAGGAGGTCGCATCCATTCCGGGACGCTCCAGCTCCAGATCTATTGGGATCGCAATTCAGTAGTGGGTACTCTCAACTCCTTTGCCAGGCTATGAAGAGCGGCAGCGTGGATGTTGTACTTATTACTTAGATCTGCTGTGTACTTGGTCGATGAAGTGTATATACTCATAATGCTTCGGCGTCTGTTTCTCTGTTACTGAGAGTGGGCATCAGTAGGCGGCTGTGGAGGATGTGGCGTGAACGTGCAATTCCTAAAGACGATAACGGGCGCTTCACGCGTCCATTCATTTTGGTTTCATTTCGAATGAAGTTTAAACACTGTCTTCAACGAAAAGGGCTCAAAAACGCGCCCGAAACACGCCCCGTGTGAAACAGGCTCCGTTCCAACAGAGGTCAAGCATTGTCCTTCCGACCTCGAGACGATGCTACAGATTCTTTTGCCGTGTGTTGAGAGATTTTGGTGCCTGATCAATGATCACGTGGACTGTATCTCTGGGCCGAAATTAAGCCGACGTCGGTGTCAATCATTTTTCTGATCTTGTCTCTTGTCCTTCTCCTCCATGCATCGCTGCTTGCAAGTTCCTGAACTTGTGGGACTCATCGAGTCTCACCTAATACCATGTTACAGCTCATCTACATCACAGTCATGGACCTCTCCATCCTCAGTGCGCCGTCCAGACCACCGTGACCTCGCTGTGCTGGCAAGGACTTGTCGCATCTTCTCAAGCCACGCACTCAGACTACTTTGGCATTCGGTGCCTTTGATAAATCTCCTTCGGCTCCTCCCCCGGGATACCTTTCACTTCACCATGACTGAGACAAAATATATCATGGTGCGTGCGCCCATAACCCACCCGGCGGCTGTCAATGGCTGACATCGTCAAAGACGCCGCGTCGCCCAATATTGCAGGACTCTGACTTTGAGCGTTTGCGCTCTTTCGCCGTATACGTCCGGTCTCTGTTTTGTCATCCTGATCAAGCTGATACCTCGGCCATGTTCGAGAGTCTTCGCCTTTGGCTCAGTGGGTCGATGTTCCCGACGCTTCACGCCGTGTATTGGTCGCATCAAGAAGATGATTTTCCTTTCATCGAACGATTCCTCGTGCCCAGTCTCACCTCAATCCATATGCCTTGCAACTTCCCCGCCGCTTCTGCATTGATTTCGAGCCTTGCCACTCGTTGTCCCCTGTTGACACACATATACTCCTCGAATCATGCGGTTTCGGCTGCTGTCTCTGCCTTGTCGGAGTGCGTACGCGCATTGGACCATATCCAATCGCTCTCCACAGACGCGCTTGACCGTCCTGCTCTTGATCATCTCTCAGGACTCCCCAGCCTCCGGGAGTTGAGTTTGAAATGTTTCCCTGCCGACTTCCCTTCCCCAGGAAGCCAGCCGTTCTTCCCATCGCTTGTGGAGTTCCAAGTCAGCAATCTTGATTCCGCGGCTCGCTTCCTGGAACGTGGCAGTGACATTCCACTGGCCAGATTATGGGCCCTGGGGGCCGAACTTGAGCCTACTAATTACTCCACTCCGGACGAGATGCATTGCCTTCTTTCTGCGATTGAAAGCACGGTTTCTCATTCCTCCTTGGCGGATTTGATGCTTGCCGTGGGGTATAGTCCATTCGACCGTTCCGAGGCCTCCACATATACTATCCGTGCTTCATCGCTCCGCCTACTTTTGTGTTTCAACAATCTCACCGATATTGCCATCCATACAGCCGTTGGGTTCGACTTGGACGACACCACAATTCTCGAGATGGCCCGCTCCTGGCCGCATCTCGAGGTTTTCAGGCTGGACACGTACTTCGGTACCTCTCAGCCTCGCACCACACTCAGCTGTCTGGAGGCCTTCGCCAAATATTGCCCCCATCTCTCCATGCTGTCGATGGCCTTCGACGCCACTGTTGTTCCGGAATCACACGGCGACTTTTTCCTGAAACATTTGACGACGCTCGAGGTTGATGTGTCGCCGATTTCGACAGCGGAGTCCGTTGCGCAATTTATCGCGCGGGTCTGTCCACGATTGACGCTCGTTGTCACGCTGGTTCACGGGCAGGACGAGTATTGGGAAGCCAATGTGGTGCCAGAAGCGTTTGGGTACGACACCATCTGGACGGAGGTTGGATCGATTTTGCAAGGCTCTCGTGAAGAGGAGCATCACGCCGCCGCCGCCGCCGCCGCGTAAGGGAATATTCCCTCCAGCAGGGAGGTTGTGATCATACTTAGCTGTGTGTGCAGTCGATGAATTCCGATACTCATGTTGCTTCAATCACAAAAGCGGGCCCTCTCCTTGAGTAAGGACTGAGGACAGCACAATCTCGGTAACGAGGCCTCATTTCAACTTGAGTAATGTAAGTGTCCTCCAGCCCCATCGTGCAGAGCGAAAGTCCGAGGAACTTTCGAAGGTGCCGGAACGAGGATTCTAAGATCCTTCTCCACCCACTCGTTTTACCTGCAGCCGTTAATTTGATATTGGTGTGAATTCGCTCCTTGCCTCGCCGCCGCCACCTGCCCTTCTTAAGAGGCATGCCGCATCACGTGCATACACCAAACCTTGCTTAACGCCTTCCACCATCCACTGCGCACCTCCATGCACCGTTGCTTCCAGCTCCCCGGTGGCGAGATTGTGGAACGTATATGCTTTCATCTGGATCGCCAGGTACGCCCCCGCTGGAGAGGGGTGGCTGAAGTCGATTATCCGAGGCAGGGAGATCTCACCGCCCTCGCAAGAGCGTCGAAGGTTTTCTCCAGCCATGCACTCCGCGTCATTTGGGAGTCTGTGTCCCTGGTGAATCTCCTTCGCTGCCTTCCTTCGGATGCGTACAGTACCGAAATGGGACACGGAATTTGGATCATGGTACTCGGGGGAGTGGGCAGTCTGGTGCGTGGCCAGTATTTACTTAGTCCATACACTCGCTGACAGCCCATATAGGAGCTGCTTGGCACCTTGCAAGACGGCGATTTTGACCGCATCCGCCTCTATGCCCCCTACATTCAGCATCTCTTCTGCGACATGAAGATCCCATTCACTGTGCTTCTGCCAGCAAGTCATTGGCTCCCCAAGAGCATGTTTCGAAGCTTCGGGGTCTTCATTGGATGAACGATCGTCAGGAAGCAGACCGTGATGGTGTCTACTTCCTCGACCACTTCCTTACTCCCCAGATCACCTCCATTCGCATACCGGCTTATCGCGGCCACGGAGGTGCCACTACCTTTATGCTGCTGGTCAAGCTTCCCATTTGCTGCCCTCAGTTGCAAGACTTGACCTGTGTCACCCGATACCCGAGCAGTGACGCGGCGGCTACCTCCGTCGTCTCAAGCTGCGTGGCCCGCTTGAATAGCCTCAGGACGTTGAATATGGATCTACTCGACCAGGCGGCGCTCGCACATCTTTCTCGCCTTTCCAGTCTTCAGCATCTACGGCTGAAGGCATTCCCCTCTGATTTCCCTGCTGCCGAAGATGGAGCATACTTTCAATTCCTTCAAACGCTGCATTTCCACTCCGATATTCATTCGGTGTC